GGAATAGGAAAATATAGTTTGAGTATTTCTTATTAGCCTTTGAATATTTTGATATCATTTATATTTTGAAGTGTTGTCACAAACATTAAATCATCTAGGCAACTTCCATAGTAAATCTGAAACTATAAGTCTTAGTTTGTAGCATAAATTTAATCGTTTAATAGAAATTAGGCAGTTACATTGATAGTATGTATTTTATTTACTTCACTCGTAATCAGTTGTCCTACTTAAATAAAATCTAGAATGATCGATTCACTTGTTTATTATAGTTAAAATGTCTTTGTTTAAATCCCAATGTTTTAGAAAGTAATCAGAAGTTAGTAAGAGTCAGGGCATAAAGACACTTATTACTGTTTTGTAAAATCTTTTAGTAAAAGCTAATAATAGCCAAGGTCATAGTTAGAATCAGCAATATTCTCAATATAGTACCTGAAATTTGAAATATTTAAGGTAGGGTTTTGAATGAATTTAATAGTAAGTCCACCTCTTGCACCACATTAGTCAATTGTTTCTTCAAATTCCATGACATCTTAGAGTAAGTCTCTCCTATCTATGAGTTAGGAATCTGCAGTTAGATATAAAAATAATTTACCCTCTGTGAAAATTGAACTAAAACTAGATAAAGAAGTCTGAGCTTCTAAGATTTACTCCATTGGTGATATAATAAAATCTGCAGTATCCTCAAGAGTAATGAATGCACCGCACTATTAATCATCATAATCACTATATATAATACTGAAGGAGTAAGTGGATTTTATCCCAACTGTATAATAATTTCTGTCGTTCATCCTTTTTGCAAAAAGATTAGAGATTGCAAAGCTGGGATGTACTTTTATTTCTTGTATGTCATATCGAATAAATTCTGAACTCACAGAAAGTAAATTACCTTCATAAAAGCTAAAGAATACATATTTCTCAGTTGCTTATTCTTATGAAATAATTTTGACAAGGAGTTTATATATTCCATTATGGTATATCACTTCAAGATAATTTAGAAATTCAATTGTATCATAATGGGCACTCTAAGTTTAACTGTCTCCAAGGTTAGTGTATATAAATCCTGAAAAATATGGTATTTATTACTTTTCATAGCACATTAAGATACTATTTTAAGCTTCATTATAAGAAACTACTGATACTTTTGTATCCTAGAATTTTAAAGGATATAATGGACTGTAATAAATCATTTATTCACTGACATACCCACCTCGCTAAGTGAGTTTAAAAGATATAATGGCGTTTGCTACTTCAGGATTATATATAATTCCAGTTGCTAGAATTTAGCTTTAAGATGTAATAGTAATCAGAAATGATAAAACAGCTGGATAGTTTAATTAAGTCTACCAGCTGGTACCAGCTTGATCCATAGTTATTCTTATAATACTTGATTACTCTTATTCAGCATTATAAGCATAAATGTAAACAAAACCTTCTTCGTCAACAGTTAATTGATGGTAACCTTGACCTTGCTTATCTTCAGGTATTGCTGCGCTGCTGACTACTTACATAGCAGAATTATCAATTTTAATAACTGCTAAAAAATCTTTGCTATCAGATTTCATTGTGACGAAACTGTTACCATTCTTAATATAGATATTTTAAATTCTGTTGAATTCTGCATCTGAACTTCTGGCCAGAATTGAGAACATCCACTTCAACCTAGGATAATATATATCTTAATCGTAGTAGCCTAGGAGTGGAGATTTAATGCCTGATTTTGTAACAGAACCACCAAATACTAAATCACCGTCACTTTCCTGTATATTAGTAATGTCTATGCTTTCATTTTCTTGTGGCATCCCAGCAAACTTGATTGGAAATTGCTTCTAAGTAAAGCATTTTCTATCTATCGCTGCATTTACATGAAGACTTAGAACTAAGCTGATAATAAAGTGCAGCCAAAAGCAGAAGTGAGGGCTAAATAGTTTTAAATTTTGTATTGAATGTTTCCCTGTGGACTTCATTCTTATTAGAAATATGAAAATAACTTACAAGAAAAATAGATATTATCATTCTAGTATTAATTTTTGTTAATAAAAATCATTATTTTAGCTTCTTGGGGTTTTGGGGTTTTGGGG